GGGACTACACTTGTTGTAATCTTTTTTTCTTTTCCTTTTTTTTTTTTTGGTACTGGGGATTGAATTCGGGACCTTGAGCTTGCGAGGCAGACACCGGAACCACTGAGCTAAATCCCCGGCACTTGTTGTAATCTCATTGGTTGATCAGTTTTGTGTGATTTCTCATTGGATCAATATTACCTAGGTGACTATACTTTATTTATTTTTTTATTTTTTTATCATCTCATCTTTCTTTCTTTCTTTCTTTCTTTTGGGGGGGGGGTACCAGGGATCAAACTCGTGACCTTGTGCTTTCGAGGCAGGCACCGGAACCACTGAGCTAAATCCCCAGCCCTAAGGTGACTATACTTTAAATCTTATTAGTTGACTATAGTTTTGTCCTACCTTGAACCCCCCTCATTTCGTGGCTTTGCCTTATAAACCTCCCTTGAGGAGTGGGAGAAGGAGGCCCTACTTTTGGGACCTCCTTCTGCCTCTCTTAGACAGAAGCTATCTTTCTCTTAATAATTTCTTCCTCCTCGTAACTTCTGTTGTTCCTAGAATTCTTGCTTGGATTTTAGAGAACCTGAACTGAGGGTTTCAGACATCTAGCAGGTTGGGAGTTACAATATTTCCCTTACATTATTTACAGGTCCACAAATCATATGCCCTATATCAACCTGACTGCATAATGAGTTCAAGGACAGCCTGGAATATATACCAAGACTGTTTAAAAAGAAATACCCCAAGGGCCGGGGATTTAGCTCAGTGGTTTCATCACCTGCTGCGCAAGCACAAGGGCCGGAGTTCGATCCCCGGTACCAAAAACAAAACAAAACAAAAAATAAATAAATAAAAAATAAAAAGAAATACCCCAAAACCAACATGAATAAAAACTTTAAAATGACAAAAATATAGGAAATTGCAAATACACTACAAACTTCATTTTCCCACAAACTCTAAGAAGCCAACATGCTACTCATCACCTCCAAAACTTTACTGTGTATTTTCCACAAACAAACACAATTTCTCATGTACTCCCTCTGGGAAAAGTGAAAAAAATCACCTGTAAGTCCCACAGCGGAATCACTGCCATCCAAGCCAGAGGGAGGCCTATGTCCCGCCTTCCTCTGCGGAGCTTGAAGGCTTTCCCCGGCGGGTGTGTGGGGGGGGGTGGTTTTACAGAAATGCTTGCAAATATTTCTAAGTTCTCAACACAAACAAATAAAGTTATTCAACAAGCGCCCAGGAGCACCAGGGGATGCAGACTTCCCAGGTCCCTACAGTGAGAACGGACCGTCCAAAGTCTGGGCAGGACCCAGGAGGGCACGGCGGGGGGCCCGAAGGTTGCAGCAGAAGGAAACCTTGGCTGCTGCAGGGGCTGAGCCCAGATCCACCCTTAGGTCCCCATCGCGCCAGTCAGACCCCAGCCTTTTCTACTGTGGCGGCCGCCAGGGATCAGGACACGAAGCCAGGCCACGTGGTTTGTGATCAAGGCTCTGGGGGCGCACCCTGGAGACGTGAGGTGTCCACGCGCATCCCTGCACCTCCTCTGCCTCAGGAGTCGGGCTAGGACCCGACCCACGCGGGGCGCGGCCAGCAGGGGACATGGCGGGATAATAGCTCTCCCTAGGTCCTTGATGCGGTGACAAAGGGTGGTCTGAGGCACTCCCTGAACCAAACGCCAGCACCTCAGGGCGAACCTAAGCAACAAGGGCCGGCTCCGCTCCCCAAGACCAGATCAGGCAGCCCCTCCCAGAAGGAGACCTAGGGCTCCAGGCAGAAAGTGTCCTTGTCCTGACAGAAGAATTTACAGGGGTGGGGAGGGGGGACACAAGTTCTAGCTTTTTGTTTTGTTTGCTTAGGTTTTGAGACAGGGTCTCGCTATGTCGCCCAGGCCGGGCTTGAATCTCAGCCAGCAATCTTCCTGCCTCAAACTCTCCACCGAATGCGGGGATCACAGGCACGCCCCACCACGCCCAGCTGCACTTTCCAGTTTGACTCCTGCTTGGGAAGCAGGTTCCTCACAAGCCTGAGCCAGTGTCTTCATTCCTTCATTACTGTGAACCTCAGTTTCCTCCTGAGTATGAAAGACACACACGCACACACACGCGCGCACACACACGCGCGCGCACACACACACACACACACACGGGCTACACGAAAAACACTTTATTTGCCATCCCAGGCTCCGTCCCCGTCTCCTCCAGCCAAGCGGGGTCCCCTCAGAGGTCCCTGGCCACCTCCAGCAGCCTCACATTCGCCGTGGGCAGCCGGTGGCGGAAGTGGTGATAGACGGCGTCCCCGACCACCGCCTGCAGGGAGGGACTCGGCTTAGGACCCCGGGGCCCAGGACGCAGTCCGGTCAGTCACAGAGCTGCAGGTGCTGTGTGGCCTGGACATCGCCCACCTCCGAGCCTCAGTTTCCCCAGTAACGAAAAGGTGATTAAGAAGGGCTGCCCGCACTGGAACGGAAGCCCCGCGCCGCGCTCCTCACGGCCCCATTTGCCACTGGCCTTGCTGTTCAACACGACCACAGCCTCGTCCATCCGCGGGTTGAAGTGCAGGGCGGCGTCCGAGTCCTGCCCCTCGCTGAGCAGCAGGTTCACGTGGAACCTGGGGGACAGTGGGCCGCAGGGCTCAGCAACCACCAGGCCTGGGACCCTCACTCCCCGTGTCCCCAGCGCCCCAGGTACAGGGACCAGGACAGATCCCACTGCCCAGAGGGGAGGCTGGACTCATGGCCTCGGGTCCCAGGTCCCCAAGGCAGCCAGAAGGTCCCGGGAGCCACACACTTCTGCCGGGACAGAGTCCCTGTGCTCGTGGCCAGGGTGACCAGATTTCCAGGGAACCCCAGGTCCCGGGGACCAGGAGCCACACTTCCTGGGACACAGCTAATTCCAGGGTCCCCCAACCCCAGGAGGCCTCAAGTCCCACACCCAGGAGGTCACAGGCTTGGCTGGCAAGGCCAGCTGTTGCTTGGCACAGCCCTGGCCCTGTAGGCTCCTTCCAGAGTCCTGGAGTCTCAGAGCTGGGTCCTTAGGGACACTTGGGGACCAAACTACACGGTCGGGGGGCAAAGAGTGAGTGCATCATACTCAGAGTCAGAAAGGCCCTGGGATTCCAAGACTCTGCTGGCCACAGATGGCCCAGGGCCGCTGTCTCTGGCCTGCAAGGATTGGGGGTTATTTGAGCCTGGAGCCCCCACCCATCCCCTGTCCTGGGGTCTCACCTGCTGGCATTCTCAGGGACAGAGCCCCGAATTCTCATCACACTCCCCGCATGGACAGTGTCAGGCAGTGAGATCTTGTGGGGAACATTCTGCAAGGTTCAAAGTGGGGAGACATTGAACCGGGGGCGCAGGGAAAGGGACGCCATAGGGGAGCCCCTGGGACAGGAAATGCCAAGATGGAGCTGAGCACCCAGCAGAAGAGGAAAGGGTCCCAGAGAGGAAGGAAAGAGAGGCCCAGACAGGAAGAGAAGCAAGAAATACAGAGAAAACTGGTCCAGGAGAGAAACTGGGAGGAAGCCCAGGCAGGGGATGAGGCCCTTTGGGATAGGGTGGGACAGCGCCCCCATCCACTCCCTGAGCATCCCAGCCTCGGTCCAGGTCCCCACCTGGCTCCCTGCCATGGCTGCACAGTGGACAGCAGCGGTGTGGCAGAGAGCTGCGGGGGCCCCTCAAGTAAAGGTGGGGTGGGGCCTCTGACTCACCCTGCCTCTTCCCCCTGCACCTACGCCTGGCACAGACCCTGGCCCTGGGGCAAGGCGGGCAAGGCGGGCAAGGCTGGGGCAGGTCTTCCTCCTGCCTGGCCCTGCATTTGCTGAGGGGCCCCGCTGCCCTGCCCCATCCCTGAGCGGGGAAGAATAGCGATGCCCTGCTCTGCTGCCTGGCCCACAGGGGCTGCTGCTGGGTGCACTGAACTTGGGGTGTGGAGCTGCCCTGGGCTGCAGCCCCAGCCCCCCTCAGCCCCCCGCCAGCCCCCCAGGGGTGTCACAGCCACCACAAGAGCAACAGTCGAGACTTGGGCTCCCGTGCTGTGTCCCTGTCCCCACAGCATCCCAGGCACATGATTGGTGCTCAGGGACTTGGGTGAAATGAGAGAGACAAAGGAACAGCGCTCTCCCCGAAGCCTCTGGGTCCCCAGATGTGCAGGCGTGGCTGACACAGCTGAGTGTGCAGGGCGTGGTCACTCCGACCCTGGCCAGGATTCTGGACATTTCTCTCCCACTTCTCAGCCCTGACTCTGTGTCCACCCACGCCTGTTTCCACAGGTGTCCTCTGTTTAACAGAGACGCAGAGAGCAGAGAAAGCACCAGGCCTGTCTCAGGTGAAGAAACAAAGCTGTTTTATTCTACGCAGGCAGACTGGCCCCCGAGCAGAACCAGTGTAGAATCGGGGGAGAGCATAGAGTTAAGCAGAAAAGTGGTTGCTAGGCAGCTGCCAGGCATTGGTCAGAGAATTTGTTTTCTGGAGGAGTCTGGAGGCAAAGATAGGGCAGTCTGTGCTCCTCAGAAGGGTGGTGGAACAGATGTTTCTTGGAACCAAGGGTTGGGGCGTGAAGGCCTTCCTGCCATCACAAAGGGCTCTTCCTAGGGGCTGCAGTTTCCCGCCAGGAGTGACACCCCACCCCACCCCGGCGGGGAGGCTTTGTCCTGTGCTCAGGCCTGACACTCTGCTCTCCCTCTCTTGTTCTTCCCCCTAGAACTGCTGATTTTCCAACCCTGTCTGCACACACAGTGAAGTGGGGTGTGGGTGGGATGCAGGGGTGTCCTTGTGCCCTCTCTGTTCAAGAATGTGTCAAAGCAGGAACCCTGCCACCAGCCCCAAAGCCAGCTTCCCTGGGCCAGGTCTCAGGAGGAGAATTCAGGAATGGGAACGTGGAGGGAAGAGGGGAGAAAAGTAAAGGAAGTGTCCCATGGCAAGGAAGTGGGGGGAGGGTGAGCAGAATCCCACCCAGTACCCAGCCTCCACCTGATGGCCCCTCCTGCTCCACCCAGCAGGCACTGCAGAGCCCAGGAGGTGCAGGCGGGCGTGGAAAGCAGGGGTGGAGGCCTCAGACCTAAAACCTGACTCCTGTCTTTGTCCCCCAGCCCAGGCCACCCAGCCTTCCTGCAGCCCCCTCATCACACAATTGAGACCCCCAAGGAAAGGTCCACTTTGGCAAAGGCTCAAGAGTGAAGCTGGCCATGAGGGGCTGCAAGCACTTCCCTTCTACGGAGAAGGAAACTGAGGCTCAGCAAGGGAGCCTGTAGCTGGAGAGGGCCAGACCCGGAGTCCGGGTATACAGGGAAGGGCGTGGCATTGATGGAGCGCAGGTTTCAGGCTGCTGCGGGCACAGTGGGAGAGCTTAGTTCCTGGGAGTTGTAAATCTCATTGCTGAAGCGCTGCTGTTCACAGTAAATCACACAGTGGTGCTGGTTCCCATGAACTCCTCTTGCTCATTTCATCGTGGCTGGGTACTGCTTCACGTACAGTCAGCCACAAGCCCAAACTTGCCTCTGGTGATAGGCCAAGTGTTACATCCAATCTATTATCAGTTTGTAAATAGGTTGTAAATAGGTTTGTAAATAGGTTTCATTTCTTGGAACTACAATAATCTACATCATTGATCAACACTTACTTATTTTACTCTCTTTCTTGTAGGTCTGAATATTTCCACGTGCATTTTTTTTTTTTCTTTTTGCAGTACCGGGGATTGAACCCAGGGCTACATCCCAGCCCTTTTTGATTTTTTTTGAGACAGGGTCTCACTAAGTCACTAGTTGCCCAGGTTGGGCTCAAACTTGTGATTCTCCTGCCTCATCCTCCCAGAGTGGAATTATAGTTGTGTATTACCACACCTGGGCCATTTCTCTATTTCTAAATAATGAATGTGTTTATTTCTGAGTATGGATTTTTATCAAGGCCTACTATGCATTAAATAAGAGCTGCCGATTTTAACAGGATAGTGGAATGAGGTTTGAGGAGTGTGCTAACCTGTGTGACCATCTCCCTGACCAAGTTCCCTAGTGTCCTCCAAACTCCCAGCCTCCTCCCCTGCCCCAGGAAATCACTGTCACCTTGAGCACATAATAACCCAAAAGCATCATTTGCTTTGAACAGAAAGAAGGGCTAGGCGGTCTCTTTTTCCTACAGTAGGGCTCTTTTAGGAAACATTTTAGGTGGCAAAATTATAGTTGCACTCTCAGGCTGTTTCACTGTGAAGTTTCTTTTTATTGTTGGTGTTTTTGGTGTTTTGGAGATAGGGTCTTGCTATGTAGCCCAGATTGGCCTTGAACTTGCAGTGATTCTCCTGCCTCAGCCTCCTGAGTGGTAGAACTAAAGGCCTGTACCACCAGGCCAGGGTGGTGTGAATTGGTGGTGTGAATTTTCTTTTTTGAAACAAGGTCTTGCTGTTTTGTTTAGGCTAGCCTTAAGTTAACAATCCTCATGCCTCAGCTTCCCCAGTGGTGGGATTGCTGATGTTCACAACTGTTGTACCCAGTGAGAGAGAACCAACCAGAGACCGATATTAAATCCACACAGGAGTTTATTACCGGCCAGGATCCGAGCCGAGCATGGGACTCAAGCCTCCACTGGGGGTTGACAAACATGTTTTATACACCTTTGAGGCCAATAGTTCCTAGGCCCCCCTATGGGATAAAACTAGTAAAGCAAGCAAAAGGTACAGAAGCGGAACATCCTGCTGTTAGAACATTTGTAAAACAATCGTTGATTAATTGTTGTTTCTAAGAGACTCTAAGGGGAGGAGGTTTCTAAACTTCCTCCTTCTGAGTTCATCTAAAGGGCAGGCAGGTGGGTCAAGCAGCAATATGGAGTCTGTCTTGCTAACAAGGGTCCTTCAACAACCATGCCTGGCTAATTTTGAACACAGTGAAAATGATTCAGGGCTTGCTTTGGTTTTATAAGTAACTCAACATTCCTATGATTAAAATGACAGGTTTAAAAACCTGACTTCTTGTTTTATTTTTAATTAATCAATTTTTTGTGGTACTAGAGCTTGAACCCAGGACCTTTGCACTAAGCTACATCCCCAGTCCTTTTTTTTTTTTTAATTTTGAGACAGGCTCTTACTAAATTGCTAATTTGAGCAGGCTGGGCTCAAACTTGCAATCTTCCTGCTTCAGCCTCCCAGAGTGCTGGGGTTATAGGCAGGCACTACATCCAATAAATACCTGACCTTTTAAAAAAGCTTTCCTGTGCATTTAAAGTCTTACCTTTCTATTCCTAAATATGGCATGTTGAATAATCTGGCCACTACTAAAGGGAAACCTTTGCAGAGTGTTCAGTCCATTGATAAGCTTAGTTAATTAAAATTTCTTAAATATTTGAAACAGTTTTTGGTTTTTTTTTGGTTCAGGGATCAAACTCAGGGCCTTGTGCTTGCAAGGCAGGCATGGTGCTGCTGAGCTGAATCCCTGGCCCTCTTTTTTTTTTTTTTTGAGACAGGGTCTTGCTTTGTAGTTCAGGCTGGCTCTGAACTCACTATGTAGCTTATGCTGGCCTCGAACTCGCTATGATCCTCCTGCCTCAGTGCTGGAATTACAGGCATGCGCCACCATGCCTGGCGTGCATGTATTGTTTTGTTTTGTTTTGTTTTGTTTGTTTGAGACAAGGTGTCACTATGTAGTTCAGACTGGCCCTGAACTTTTGTGAACTTTGCAGCCCTCCTGCCTCCTGAGTGCTGGGATTACAGGCATGCGCCATAACATCTGGCTCTACATGTATGACTTTTATAACATATTGATTTTTCAGTATTTTAGCTGTGCAATAAATGTTTCAATGAATAAAGTAATTCTTATAAATTTCAACTCTTAAATAGTGAAATGTCCTGAGTGACCCTTCCTCTGCCCCTTCTTGGGCCTCTCCTGCTTTGCTGAGTAGGAGCTCAGGCAGCCATTTCATAGGTGAGGGAGGCCAAGGGTATTGGGGAACTGTGTGGAAGTGTATACGGTAGCTGTGATGTGTAATCCCAGCACTTGGGAGGCTGAGCAGGAGGATCACTGAGTTTGAGGCCACCCTGGGCTACACAGTGAGTTCAAGGCCTGCCTGAACTACATAGTGAGACCCTGTCTCAACCAAAAAAATCCTACAATAAATGTGGTCAGTATGTATGACAAATATGTACTAATAAAAAAAGTAAAGTTAAAAAATTAAAAAAGAAATCCAGCCCTAAAAAAAGGCAAAAGATAAATAAAACAAAAAATAACTCCCAAAAGCCCAGCCTGGCACACTAGATGGCACATATCTGTCATCCCAGTGCTCAGGAGGCTGAGGCAGGAGAATCAGAAGTTTGGGGCTCACTAGGGCTGCACAGCAAGTTCAAGGCCAGCCTGGACTAAATAATGAGACCTTATCTTTCCTAAACAAAAGGAAATGGACAAAAAGTAGGGACAAAAGGGCAATAGAAGGAGTCTTCACCATGCGCATAAGTGAAAAAAGGAGCAGAAGTTTGGTAGATTCATGTGCCCTTTTAAATTAAGGAGCAATGATGAAGATGGATCCAAAATAATAAGTTACTTTTCTACCAAAGGAGTAGATTATTCTTATCACCGTCCAGTAGCTCAATTCAGTTTGGGGGAAGAAGTAGAACAAGTGAAATACAGACAATGGAAGAGAAGAAAACTTCATTCTGGAACTACCTTTCTCCCTCACCCCCTATCTTTCTACTTATTTTAATTTTGCTGAGTTTATAAATAGGAAAGAGCAAACAAATAGAATATATGTTTAAGAATATATGTATACCAAGAAATCTGCCTTGAAAGATGCTATTCTGTAGAGGGAAA